GCCGCAACATCCCTCATGCCCCCTCTTTGAGCACGTACTCTCCGTCCTGCTCCGAGACACACCTTAGATGAGGCCCTATGTACGATCGTTTATATAAGATCCCATTATGCAGGTAGAACCTTAATGCTCTCCTTCCAACCGGGTCGTCCCTGATATCTTTTCCCGCCACCGGCTCCTGCAACCATTGTATTAAGGGCGACTTCCAATCTCTTTGTTCTTCAACTTCTAGTACATGGTCTAAGGTACTCCTCGTCATGTCCATCAGCGTCACCGACCGAGATCGGCATTCAACAAGAGACGCGGCCACCTTTGAGAGTAGGTCGGCCCTACCATTTTCTCCCCGCGGTATCTGTATCAACTCCCAAGTTGCGAACCCCTTCAACATCGCATGGACCTCCATCAGATACCTCTTCATGCGCTCTTCCTTAGCTTCATACTCACCCCTAATCTATTCGACCACGAGCTGAGAGTCCGGGTGAATGATTACCTGACGGACTCCTTCCTCGAGACGAGCTGAATCCCCTTGATAAAGGCTTCGTACTCCGCTTCATTGTTCGACACTCTAAATGAGAGCTTCACCGCGAATTCCAAATGATCCTTCTCGGGTGTGACCACTAAGATGCCAAGACCCGCTCCTCCTACGGCCGATGAGCCGTCGACATACACCATCCATGGTCCCTTCTCATCTTCCAACGTGCACTCTTGTATGAAGTCAGCCAACACCTGCGCCGACCCCTTTAACGTCATCAAGAAAGCCCGACAACTCACAGCATCACTATACCTGTGCAGCACAACTATGTTGTCAAACGATCTCAAGTGCCTAGTTGGGTCTGCCGATCCATCATAGGACAAACTCGACTCCCTGAAGTTGTTGGGCAAATCCTCTCCCATCCCAAGACATCCTCTGCAAAAGGGTGTCCTCGTGAAACTATAGGTCTCTTACCATGCACCCAAGCTTGGAGTTCCTGCATTTGAGCTGCCAACCTTTCCAAAGTTAATCCATCCTGCTGTGTCGTCGCCACCGGGCGAGAGGTCACCGACCTGGCATCATCCTCATCGCCCCTCTCCAAGCGCTGGTGCTGCTGCTGATGTGAGGGGGCTTGTTGTTGAGGTGCTAGTGGCTGTCGTGGCGGAGGTTGTCCAAAAGACTCATTAGGAGCTCTCTTATCCACTTCTTGAGCCCGGCCTATCGCCTCAGCAATGATCTTGTCCAACTCCGATCTGGTCATGTGAATAACCGGGTCCCCCCGTGGTGCCGAAGAAACATCATCCCCCGGAAGGTTTTGTGCTCCTACCACGACCAACTGCCTACTACCAAGGGCACCATTCTGATCACTAGCACCTCCGGATCCCAAAACACCTTGATTCACTCCCCCCATCAACCGTGGTGTCCACCTCCTTCCCTTTGTTTGTCAAACCACTCGATCCTCCCTGGTTCGCCACGCGCCCCTAAGCTTTTGATGGTGGTATCGGGGTCACGCTTGGGCCCAACAGCGTCTCTTTGGGGGTGACCGACGATGGTGACCATCCTGGCGGGGGACCTGTCCCGAAGGCCCTTCACGCCCACTCCTCATCCATCTTCTTAGTCAAGTTCTTCTTTGAATTATCTCATGCCATGATTCCTATCGCTCTTCTTCTTCTTCTTCTTTTTCTTCTTCTTCTTCTTTAGTGAGACAAAACAGCCTTTGATACTCCGGTAGACGACTGAGTTATCCCCACAGACGACGCCAATTTGTTATACCACAAATACTTGAACCGCTGGACCGCTCCTCTTCAAACCAGGTTACGTCTCCTTGATCGCCGGTACCTGCAAAACACGCAGGGGGTAGTCCCGACGCGAACACTCCGACGCTCAAGTCAGTGGTGGTCCGAAGAGAAAACGGTAGAGTAACGAGAGAATTTGTATGTGTGTGTTGTGTAAAATGAATGAACTTGCTCAAGTTTTTTAGAGTCCTCACGAGACAAGAAGTCTTCTTGATGTTTATCTCTATTGTCTTTAGAGTCCTTATTGCTATCAACCTCCTCGTAACTTGCTCTCAACGCCACTATCAAGTTCCCTCGATGGAACCCTCTGGCCGGGCTACCTTGACGCCGAGGTGATCCCCTTGGTGGTATCCATGGTAGTACTCCGAGTACTCCTGACGGTACCCTTGGTGGCACCCTCTGACCGAGGTACCCAGCTGCCTAACTACCGAAGTGCTTAGTTGGTTCTCTCCATACAACTGTGACCGGATCACGACCGGTTCCTCATGAACCGCTATCGACGACCACATCACATTGGTCACAGTTTTTTTTTTATTTTTTATTTTTTATTTTTTTTGCCAGACTTTTGTATTGTTGTGGTCCTTGTGGATCTTTAATTGTTCTTGAATTGCCTTGAGGTTAACCAATTTGAAGAAAACTATGCTGATGTTTTTATTTTATTTTTGTTATATCTTATACAAATTTTTCTTTATCAAATTTTATAATGTAAATTTTTAGGAAGGTTAAATTGGAGATTGCTTGCTTATAGATGAGGATGACAAGTATATGCTTATTTTTCTGGTATTTTTGGAACAAGTTTATATATGTAGAGCCTGTTCATGGTTAGCTTTTGAATGTGCAAGAGTAGGCTAAAGCTTACTAGTCACTTGTGTTGTGCTTAAGATAAAGTGACAGTAACACTAGTCTGTGGCGCCGTGATTGGCCGCCGCCACTAACAGGATATACAAGCAGATTATCTCTATCCGTCTCATTCAGTCATTTCTCAACCGCATTTCAATCAATTTTTCCATATCCATCTCCTAATTTCGAAATATCCAATCAGGTATACATGTCTTCTTTACAAAAATTATAAAATAAGGATCTTGCTAATTTTTTATGTTCTTATTTTTTAAGGATTTAACCCTCCTTAGGATTGGGCATAATTGTTGTTGCAAGAGAGGTGTTTAGCAAAATAATTACGACTCTATTATTATTATGTCATTATTATTATGTGATTCTGAGATCAGTATACAATGGGTTTTTAGTGCTAAAAAATACTTATAATTCGTATTATACGGGGCAGCTTGTTCAGTGAGCCACAAGTATATCCGTTTTACTTCGCCTTATCAGTTATTGCCTGTCAATTTGTAAAAATTAAAGAAATCTTGCATTGGTTTTCCCTGGTAAAATGGCGGAGTGCTACATAGGTTAAGCCAGATTGTGATCCTTGTCCTTTATATTGATGGTATTCTTTTTGTTAGATGAGCTAATTAGCGAGGACATCTTATTCGTGTAATATCCTGTAAAATATTCTTCATTTGACGTTTCTTGATCTGCCGTATGATGATTGGTATATTGTGCAAGGGCTTTGATTCAGTCCATTCATATTTCTGGAAGGGATGTGAAAGAAATTAGCATACCCTGATGGCCGTATAAATAGGATTTGGGATCGCTATGGGTCGTGCATTGATATCGTAACCATTCACATTGTTGACTGAAATTCATTCCTTGTATTGCCTTTTGAAAGTTAAAAAAATGTTTATATAATTCATTTTATACTGGGCAGATTGTTCAATCAGCTACCAGGTTGTACTTTACTTCGGCTTTTTACTTCTTGCCTGCCAATTTGTGAAAATTAAGGAAATCGGGCATTGGTTTTCCCTGCTAAAATGAGGAAGTGCTACATAGTTTAAGCAGACTTGTGATTACCCTTATCCGTTATCCTGATCGTATTCTTTTTGTTAGATGAGATAATTAGTGAGGGGATATTATTCATATAATAACCTGTAAAATGCTCTTCCTTTGAAGTTTCTTGATCTGCCATATGATGATTGGATTATTGCGCAAGGGCTTTGATTCTCTCCTTTCACATTTCGGGAAGGGACGTGAAAAAATTTGACATACCTTTTTCAACTGACGGAAGTATAAATAGGATTCAAGATCACTATAGGTCGTGCATTAATATCTTGACCATTGACATTGTTGAATGAAATATGTTCCTTGTGTTGCCTTTTGAAACTTGAAGAATGTTTATAATTCATATCATACAGGGAAGTTTGTTCAATGAGCTTCCAGTTTGTACATTTTTCTTCGGTTTCTTACTTCTATAATGTCAAATCTGTAAAATTAAATAAATCTTCCCTCGAAAAAATGGTGGAGTGCTACATAATTGTGATGCTCCTTGTACTTTAATCTTGATCATATTCTTTTAGTTAGATGAGCTATTTAGTGAGTGTTTCTTATTCATTAATAACTTGTAAAATGTTCTTCATTCGAAGTTTCTTAATCTGCCGTATGATGATTGGGAATATTGCGCAACGACTTTGATTCCCTCCGTTCAAATTTCTGGAAGAACGTGAAAAAAATAGCATACCGATTCCTTCTGATGGCAGTATAATAGGATTCAGAATCATTGTGGGTCGTGCGTTGATCTCCTAACCGTTGATGTTGTTGAATGAAATTCATTCCTTGCAAAAGAAAAAAAAAAGAAAAACTAATCTAGTTTTGCTTTAATGTATGTAAGGGTAACTTCCACTACCTTGGAGACTGAGCTTAAAGTATCTGTCTTTGTGCAGAAAAAGATCAAATGAAGCACATAGTAAAGATTATGGCTTTGTTGGTAGCTCTATCAGCTTTCTGGATTAGCCTGTTACAAGCATCGGTACTTCCACAAAGCTACACTTGGTTGGTAAGCATATATATATATATATATATATATATATATATATAAAATAAAGGGTTAATTGATAAATAAACCTTAACTTTTTTGCGTTTGGCAATTTTATCCCAATCTTTGGGCAATTGTAATATAATCTCGACTTCAACTTACTTATTGCAAATTTGAGTGCAGAGTGATTGATTTTAGGGATTTGTGGGTCGATTTTGTGTCCAAGTCTTCCGTTGACACGGGTTTTTATGCCATCCACGTAGCAAGTTGACAAGTTCCACGTATTAAAGGTATATTCATGCACAAAGCCAAAAATTTCACGTCAATGTAAGCTACCGGTGATGAGTATCCTCCTAGATCTGAAGTGAACCGGTAAATATAAGCTCCGATCTGTTCGAACCGCCTTCAAATCGACCAGTTTTTTGAAGGTCCAATCAGTTTTAGGTTCGAATTGCAGTAAGTAAATTGAGGTCGAGATTATATTGCAATTACTCAAAGATTGGGATAAAATTGTCAAACGCAAAAAGGTCAAGGTTTATTTAGCAATTAACCCTAAAATAAATAGCTCTCTAAAGTTGCCGCTATTTGAGAAATAGTTTTTTTTGGCAGCGTGCCGCTATTTGTATTCATGTGCAATTTAGCCGCTAAATCCCGCTAAATCTCCGCTACAGCTCCGCAATAGCTACAGTGCTATAAACGTTTTAGCCCGCTATTTAAAACCTTGATATATATATATTGAGAGAGAGAGAGAGAAAGAGAGAGAGTGAGAGTGAGAGAGATATATATGTGTCTGTGTGTGTGCGCGCATATTCGAAATATTATATCCCTTCTCAGTTACAGTTCCTTTTTCTTTGTTTTCTTTCAGCTACCTCTCTACTTCATTGTATCACTGGGGTGTTATGGTCTACTAATGGTTGGAGTTGGTCTCATGAGATTTCCTACATGCCCGCACGAGGCAATTCTATTACAAGAGGTATCTTTACAGTGTTGCTGTTGTGTGTTTTTTTTTTTCTTTTTTTTTATTAAATTCAACTTTGTACAACTTATTAAGCTCTCTTTTGGTGTCTGTTTGGTCGTATACATTTATAGACGTTTTGGTTTTTTTGCTGTAGGATATTGCTGAAGCCAAGGGATTCCTAAAGAGCAAAGGAGTGGATATTGGTTCTGATTGAAACATTAGATCTCGACTCATACGTTACTTACTAACAACAGGAGATATGATACTACGGTTAAAATTTCATTCCACAGGTGAAATATCTGTAACTTGTATTGAAGGATACACATTCATGAATTTTGTATCGTCCAGTTCAAAACTCGGCTCTGTGGAGACATAATCGTAACAAAAAATTTCAACTTTCTGTATTCTCTCGACTTGAATCGACACAGATAACAGATATCAGGGTGTAAGTGAGGAATTTTGAAGTCTGTAATGAGTTTCTAAATTGTTTTTGTTTTTGGCAAATATGCTACGACTAAAAAGTATCTCATCGGCAACAAAAATCAAGAAAGCATGGAGTTGAAAGTCGCTGCATACTTTTTACTAGTGTGTGGCCCGTGCGATGCACGGGAAAATAATATTACGATTGTATTATAAATTAAATATACAAATAAATTAATCAAAATTTACCCATCGTTTTTAAATTAAACCGTGTTGGACACAGTCCGACTGGATGGACTGAGAACAGGTTTATAATCAGTCTAGTTCCCTTGAATAATATATTTGTTGTTGAATCAACACCAGTCGGTTGAACTGGTTTGGTCGATACGTTTTTCTAAGTAAATTCGGTTATATTTAAAATTATATTAAATAAAATTGGATATTTTAATAAAATAGAGATTTATAAACTGTTTATCAATTAATTTAAACATTTGAATTTTTAAATTGTTTAGATATTTAAGTAACACATTTTATTCAAATTTATTACAAAAACTATTATATATATATATATATTAAAACGTATTTTTAAAGAAAAAATAAATTGCATAATTTTTATAAATTAAATTATATGATTAAATTGTATGATTATATTAAAGCGTATTTATAAATTAAATTGTATGTTTTTTTTAAAGAAAACAATAAGGAAAATAATAAAACTACTATTTATGAGTAGCATTAAATGCTGACCTATTTTTTTGCTACTAATTTTAGTAAATATGATGACTCTTTATATAAGTATAGATAGATTATAACATAATGACATCACAAGAAGATATTTATGTATAGCTTTTAATTTTTATTATGGTTTATTGATCAGCTTTTGTGGTGTACCATTGGGCAGGAGGGAGGAAGTTCCTTATTCATAGCAACAGGAATAGCAATAATCCTTGTATCTATAGCAACACTCGTAGTAGACATAATCTTGGCCACATTTATCTGACACACCAAATGTCAAAAATGAATATCGGCTAGAAGCAAAGATGAACTTGACGGAGCTGCCCTTTCCCACTTCACAAAAAAAAAAAAAAAAAAAAAANNNAAAAAAAAAAAAAAAAAAAAAAAAAAAATAGAGAACGAGACATTTGAATATCGGCTAGAAGCAAAGATGAACTAGGCTAGTTAGCAAAGAAAGGGTGTCATTAGTTGCATTGATTCGTTAGAGATTAAAGAACTATGATGGTCACTTGAATTGATACTTGATTGTTTGCGTTCTTAGAATGAATTCATCTTGAGTCCGGATTAATTGATTTGAGTTGTTTGAATTATGTACTTATGTGAGAATTTGTGAGACCCTGAGTAATATCCACGTACATGTTTATATCCATCTTTATACTTATAGTTCTAAGTTGCTTGGGGACAAGCAACGGTTTAAGTTTGGGGAGATTTGATAGGTCGAAAAATGTGCATATTTTGTATATTTAATAGTGTATTTTTATATGCTTGATTTATTCGCACGTCTATATTTTTCGACTTATTTATTATTTGGATGGATTCATACACGTTAATATTTTTATATTTATTTTCAGCTCATTGAAGTATTTTCTGTATGCGCATTTGATGGAAGTTTTTTTTTTTTTTTT